TACAAATCAAATAAAATCTAATTACTTAAACTCTCATGGCAAGGAAGCCCAAGAGAAGCCACCGGGCTTATAAGGAATGGGCTCCCTCAGTTATATAATTAGAACAAAATATTATCATAATTACAAAATAATAATCGTCACCAAAACATGTGGTTTGCCAGTAGTATTTTTCTTGTTTACGTGCTTAGCAACCATTCAATAATCTGGAAAAAGTGCACCCTGGGATAGAGGGGTTATTTTTTTTACCCCACCTAAGCAGGTCACCTCACCTACCTGGGGTACCCCACCTCCATGTAAACAGGCCCTAAGAGGATACAACGGATGGCTACATTTTGTGTTTCACAGTCAGTCTGTTATTGTGTTTAGATTCACAGAGTGTGATACTGTCATTATGGGAGATGTCACTTATGGAGCTTGTTGTGTTGATGACTTCACTGCTAGAGCTCTTGGCTGTGATTTGATGGTTCATTATGGCCACAGCTGTTTAGGTAATGACCTTATATAGTTAATTAATTATAATTATAATAATTAATTTCACCATTAAAGAAGGGCTTACAATAGCGACAAAGGAAGAGGCGGTGTTAAAAAAGGCATAATTTAAAAATAAATAATGACAAAGACATTATTTGAGGTTCAATGTTTTCAGGACGTTAAATTTTCAAAAACACACGCATAGATTTTTTTCAAACTTTGCCAAGGTAAACTGCCTAAAGTATTCAATCAATAATCAATCAAAGAGTATAATTCATTTAACTTTGAATTATTTGATAGCAAAATTCAGTGCTAATATCTCTGAAGAATATTAGCACACTAGATGATTCTAACAGAATATTACTAGATGTTGAGAAAATTCCCAATTATCATGCCATCGTTATTCTGTTACTATGGAAGAGGTGATGAAACCAAATGTAATTATCAATGCTTGATAGACAGGTTGTCTCATTTTAAGGCTTTTCCATACATGCACTACAGCCAATGTTACAGGGCATCAAACAGGAAGGGATAAGTCCTTGAAAAATAGGTGCGAACCAGCCTCTTTAATTGTTTTGGAAAGAAATTAACCGTTTGCCTCAGAAAAGTAGAGCTGTCACTAAGATCTCAAGTTACCATTAAATACAACAAGTAGGCGGGGAATGAAACACCCAGGGATTTCTTTTGGTTCTCTTTTTCTTTTATTTTCCTATGAAAGAAGCCGTGCGTGTTTATTGTAGCCGGGGGAAATCTTCCGCTCTACGGCCTTTAGTGACCGCCTTGTGATAAGCCAAAAATTCAACCACTGACCGTATTCCGTTAACTGCAGCTTATACGTCTTCATTAGTGGTTTTGGGAGGGTTTATAATGGAGAGGCTTATATCTGAGGGGTCTTTTAACTGGAATTGGAAAAGAAAAAGAAAGAAAAATGATACCAAACTCTGAAATAATCCCCAATAGGCCACTGGCACTAAGAGGTCACGTGACCAATGCTTCCTTTAAACAATGAGTTGGAATCTTGCTGATGCCAAAACTTTTTAGAGCACACAACAATTATCTTACACCCGAAATTTGAGAGGAAACGCATTTAAGGGAGATATTTTATGGCACTTTGATTTTTCAGCAAAGAAGTATGATTTGTACTGGCCGCCATGTTGGAGGGCATGCTTTTGCCCTCCAACATGGCGGCCAAAACTACTTCTTGCTCATATCTTGTTCAACGTTTCATATTTACGCTCATATGTGCTGTAAACGTTATCACATCATCTTTTCAACATTTTCCTTGAAGTTTAAGTGCAAAATTTGTGTTCAGAGAGAGGTAATTCATAACTTTTAAAAATCACATTTTGGTCACGTGACCATTTACGAACTTATTCATTTTAAGAAAATGGTTCGGGTTTGAAAAACCAAATTACCATTATTTTGTTTAAGATATGACCCACTAATCGTCTTTCGAAGGCAAAATCATATAACTTTCATTTTTTTCATAAAAACGATGTCACATGCCTCTTAGTGCAAATGGCCTATTTGACCCCAAAATGATACCTACCCTGAAATGATCCCCACCTCTCTTCACATGGACCCCAAAATGATCCCAAATTTAATTCTTGGAACAGAATGGTATTCCACCACGGAATTATTACAAGTCTGTTGCAGCGTTTACATTCTTGAATCGCCTTATTTTAACATTTCACTAAAGTGTGTGATTTTTTAGCGCTTTTGTCATCTTATCGCCTTTATGTCTACTTTTGCATCTTAAACATAAATAGTGTTAAAACACCATTTTTAAAATTCATATCCAAGCGTGAAGGCATGCATGTTTTATCATCATTTTTAGAATTTAATATCCATGCCATTTTCTCTACAACCCGGGCTATAAGTAACTATGCTAAAAAATTTTAGCTTTGGAATGTTTTTAATTTCTTGATGTTGTCAGTTGCAGTTCATGGTGTTCCTAAAAATATACTAGACTTTGTGTATTGAATAATGTTTTCTTCTAACCCAATTGAAACTGTAATCCCAAATTAATGTCATTAAAGAATGCGAGCAAGTGAAGATTATTGGTGAAACTTTAATCAATAATGTGCATTTTGCTCGATCCATAGTTCTATTATATCATTCCATTCCAAAGATTAATTGGGGATCATTTCGGGGACGATGTGAAGAGAAATGAGGATCATTTCGGGGTCGATTTGGGGATCATTTCAGGGTTGGGGATCATTTTGGGGCTGGGATCATTGAGGACGCTGTGCAGCAATTCAAAAGAAGCTATAATAACAGTACTGATGAAATTGCATTTACTGGTTTTTTATTGAGCTTTAAAATTTCATAACAAATCGAATTCATTTTAATACATGTTCAAGCTAGAGAGAGACGGGGGTCTCATCATCGGATGTATTTTTTGGCAGGTGGGGTGGGAAGGGGGGTTATAAGTGGCAGTTTACAGTATACCACCACCCCTCTTTCCTCCGCAGGGGCCTCTTTGTATTGTGGGGAGGCTGGGGAGAAAGAAAAAGAGAGCGCGCAGGGCACGATAGGAAGGGGAAAGAGAGAAGAGAGGTTCCCGCCTTGTCCCTTTTCCCATCTTCCCCCGCGCGCTTTCTATTTTTCCGATTATTACTAATTTCATAGGGATACCTAGCAGGAGCCTCTGCGGAGGAGAGAGCCACCACCCCATTGAGACCGTGTGGATGGCTAGGAACGTTTTCTGCTCTGGTTGTTTGGAAAGCTGTAATCAAGAGTAATTATTTCTGTTAATACCTTTACAGTTCCCATCGACTCTACAAAAGGAATCAAGATGCTGTACGTATTTGTGGACATCAAACTGGACGCTACGCACTTTGTTGATACTGTCAGGCATAGTTTTGAAGCTGGTTCTTCTCTGGCGTTAGTGAGCACGATTCAATTTGTGGCAACTCTTCAAGTATGTAAATGTTTTACTATACTTATTTGCAATGTGAAATTTTTCTGATGGACGGTAGTTATCAATCCTCGATTGTTCGTTTGTCTCTTGGCCTGTATTGCAAGCAAGAGAGATTGATTCAGGCGCTAGGCGATGGCACACTACGAGCAACTCGCCCTCGTTTCTCGCGGCTTGCAGCTTCGTTGCTCGCTACACGCGTGTTGCGCTTGCTACCCGCCATTAACTTTGACGAAAAATATTACTCTACACTTACCTTTTTGTCAGCAGTGTCAGCTCGTGTACTGACTCTTTTATTCGTTCGCTCTTCATTCTCTTATCTCCTACTCGCTCACGTATTTTTGATAAACAAGAAGCTCGAGAGAGCTTTAATCCGAGCTATTCAACTTGAAACCGCTGAAGCGCTTTTCTATTAACCCGTTCCGCGTCATGAAAAAGCACCACATTCGCCACAAGGTTATTGTTCATTGCCGGCAGCATTACAAATATACACATGTAGTCAGTGTTAAAGAGTACTGCGATTCTTTTTTATCACTTTCTTGTCTGCCATGTGAGAGTAATTAATAAATTTTGTTGTTATCATTATTATTATTATTATTATTATTATTATTATTACAATGTATTTAGTTTTTTTAAAGTTAAAATAAATATTAAAATATTTTTGAAGTTAAAATGGGATTCCTTAGAACTGAGGCGTGAATATCTTGCTTGGTCTTACTGTACAATATTTTATTGGGGTATTGCGACGTGGACGGCTCCAAATTTTATTACATCATAGGTCCATCGCGAACTCGTAGGAACCATGATTTTAAGCTAGGGCCGCAGCGCTTTCGGACTAATTATTTCAGGTATTTTTTTGAAATCGTTACGTCAGTGGCTGGAATTCTCTCCCGTCTAAATATGTTATCTCTGAATCTAGCCTTAATTTTTCCCTTTTAATATACTTGTGCTCAAAGTTGTATTAATAGTTATACCCTCTACTTATTACATTTTTATTAATTATATTTTGTTATTATTGTTATTATTATTATTATTTTATTTCTTATGTTATATCAAAAATCAATAGATTTATCATATTGCCTTTGTAATATATTAACCTAAGGTTTTTTAAAATGTGTTCATGTTTATGAAAGGAGAGTGACCCTAGAATGGGAATTCAGTTTCCCCCTGCCGCTATCCTGCCACCTTTTCCTGCACCTTTTTACTATTTTTATTGTATGTATGGTAAAGTATTATTAAACTTAAACTTAAATGGTCAAGCCTTATTTTCACGAAAGTGGTAACCTTTCTCATTAATGTTGATGAAGGTTGACAAACATATTATTCAGCTCTCTTGTAGAAGTTTCAGCGAATTCATAGCACTCTTAGTTGGCATCTTAGTTATCTTTTAACCTGTGGCGATCCTTCATCTTTTAGAAATGGTACAGAGAAAGATATTTAATCAAAGAACAGTGTTTTTGTTGAATCAGTTTTTTTTATTTCAGCGCTAATCGTTTCTTCGATTAAAACCACATATTACAACAATCAATAGTATGTTAGTTGCATTTAAAGGCCGTTTCTGCCCGTTGTTAAGTCGGTTTGAAGGCAGTTTCTCTGCGAATTACAGCACTTATTGAACCAAGATGTATCCCATCGCTTTGATGTGCTGGTCGCCATTATCTCCACCGTGAGTAGCTTGGTTGCCACACGTGTTGTAGTCATCAAAGAGCCCTCCAGTGCCAAACCCGATCCTGGAGTCGCAACTGCTACAGACATTTTGGTTGTTACCAACGATACCAATTCTCGCTTTGGAGTGGTTGCTATCGGTGCATAGAACGTTGAATCCTTCCTTGTTACAGTTGGGTTGTAAAGAGGCGCGAGGCCCAATGAGCTTCTTCCACGTGTTACGGCCCGGTGAGGAGGCGCGATATTTGCCATCTGCGATCAGTGAATACAGGGATCTGGCTTGATGGTTGATGACGACAGACTTGAGCTGCTGACCGATCTTCATTCCAAGACAGATCTTGTTAAACGGTGTGTTCCAATAAGTCGGTAACTTGGTCTCGTGAGTGTCCAACCCAGTCTTCCCTCCTGGAAGGTTGAAGTCGACTTTGTTGCTCCAGAGATTGGAATTGTAGTGAAAGGTTTTCTGGGTGCAATTGAAACAAAGAGTAGTTTGTCAGTTTGTTGTTGTATCTCTTTGGGCTCTGAAATATTCTCTGAAAGCCATGCACGTCTAGTCCTTTCAATTGGTCTCACTGGGAAGATGAAGCAAAGGCGTTTTTAAGCGGCTACGCACGTCAACCGGAAGTAGAGCTTTTGCATCCTTGGGCGGTAGTTTTGCCGAAATTATCGGGCAAATGGTCTCCCTCAGAGTCAACACACTTAGCAATACAAATTTGGTAGCGTTTGAGGCATAATAAAAGGGAAAAGACTTTACTTCCGGTTGACTTGCGTCACTGAAAAACGCCTTTGCTTCAGCTCCCTAGTATTGTCTAGTCTATTACTACTGCCTCACTTCATACTTTGTCTTAAGCTGAATATGTCTTTCATGTACTAGTCTTCAAACAGATAAGCATTGGACTCCTTGCATTTTGCTCCAGCATCAAAAGTTTACCTTACTAGGGGGAGTAAGCTTGTTGATGAGTGACCACATAGTTAATCAGCTTTTGAACATTTAACTTTTATTACCTTTGAGCCATCAATCGTCCTGACCAAAAAAAAAACAAACATCATTTATATAAAGTACCACCGCTTTGCTCTTTTATCTGTTCGACAAATATGGTACAGTCACATCTTGGAGTTTACTAATCTTGTCCTCAGATATTATTTCCTTAGTACCTTGTCTGGTACTAATACAGTGAAATGATACATCATTGAGCTGACACTTTTTAAAGTACGCAGACTAATTTCCTTTTTCCACTTGCGTTGGACTCTTGACTTGCACTGAAAGTTTACCTTCAGTTTACAGTGGCAGTTAGGTGGTAAAAGACTGTGCTACTTGTGAGGATAATTTACTGATAATACCTTTGAGTCATCGATCTTCATGACCAGCGTCCATCCACCTCCTCCGCATGCATCAAGACCAAGCGTGGTCATGTGACAGTATACGGGAACCTTTGTAGACCCAACATCCAGCAAATACGCTGTGTTTCCTTTGGACCTGGTCAGACAAACATGCCACCAAAATGGCTAAATTCGTTCATAATGACATAGTCTGCTTCTTTTTTGTAGAGCAGCCTAGTTTCTTAACAAATGTGGCGAATTAAGAATTATGTGTGGTTTTCTTTGTTACGGGTATGAGAATATGTTTTGGAGTTGGGTATACGGATCGACGCAGTTGAGCTGAAGCTGCAACGACGTTAGGAAATGTTTGTGCAAAGCCTAGGAAAACTGGATATCAAAAACCCTTCTTTATTTCCTTGTTTTTATGTGACCGTTACGTTATTGGATTGTTTTTACAACTTATAAATTACACTGCCGTTTGGCATTTGTCTTTAGCTCTGAGGTTTTGTAGACTAGATAGAATGCCTTTATTCACCGAAAAAAATATTTACGAAGGAGATAAATTGAGCGGGTAGTTAGAAGTGAAGGGATGACAATTGAAACTTGCTTCTGTCGTGCACACATTTGACACTAGGCAATCGACCTTCTTCACTGATTGCTCTTTACAATCTTTTGAAAATGGTTTTATCCGCAGTGATTCTGTTATAAGTCCAGAGTCTTGTGTAAACATCAGGAACTCCAATTTTTATATAATTCAGAGATTTAGTACATTTCACTGACTCCAAAAAACACTTGACCATAGCGAACACTCCTGAATAAATTCATTAAGTTTCTTTTCTTCGTTTATTACCGACCTTCCGTGTTTAAGTATTTGATTTACTGCTATTTTTGTCATTTTAATATAAATAATACTGATTTTATAGCAATTACCTTGTTTTGTTATCCAGAAAATCTCCTCAACGTTCACTTCCGCGATTTTCGTGTATTTAACTTGCAAATGGATAGAGAAAATTAAGAAGAAATTTTAGCAATTTTAGTTGGGAACGCTCAGAGATTTTAAAAGTACATTTCAAAATTTGCGGCTGAGTGTCTTTTTATAGTAGGTTATTTTCTATCGCTTGTACTTACAAATTCTTTTCATAAACGTCTTTGCACGTTGAAGCTGTAAGAAGTAAGGCAATGATATTAGGTACAGTGTATCCTAGAAAAAATAATTTTTTTAAACAAGGTAAATCTTTTTAAATAGATGTTTCGACAGCATCAACATCGTTGTCTTTGTCCAAATGGCGACTGCAGTAGGTCACATGACCACTGACCATGTGACCAGCATGGTCATGTGACCATTTTGTGCTAACTGTTGTTCGAATGAGGACCTAAAGTCAAAGTGTCAAAGATTCCGAAGAATAGGAAAACGGGATAACACTGCCTCGGTCTTGGTGATTTTCATCATCCGATAAAAACAGTGATGGACTTTAATATGACCTTGTGATAGAAGAGCCGCTTCAAAGTGTCGCCAAATCAGATAAAGCTACTAAAATGAGTAGAAAAACCGTACATCGCCTCGAACGACAGTCGACATCTTCTGAAGCTTTGGTAAACGGAATGTCGTGAACCATTTGATTTTTTTTGGAAATTTTGTGCTCCTTTGTGTAAATTGTACTCAGGCAGCTCTTACCATTTGTACGGAAATTTCGGTGAAAAGTTTCCGTCAAATGTTACTTGTATTTTTTTTGGTGCCGAAAACAGGAACGGGATTGAGTTGTACCATTTACAACATACCGGTAGATTTTTCTCTTTCTCTCGACATGAAGCCTGGGACTAGTAATTCAGATAAATGGTACAGAAAATTTCGGTCGTTTCGGTAAAAACGGGAAAAAGGTAATACCTTGAAAGGTATTACTTTTTTTCCGGAATATTTCCACCAGGATGAACCGTTCCATTTGAATTCTCCCCGGAATTTCCGGGTTTTTCCATACAAATGGTAAGCGCTCAGGGTTTCTTTTCTTTGTTATCCTGGAGCCGTGGACGTCGATAAAAAGATACCAAAAAATGTGATGCACGTGCAGAGCAATTTGTTTGCTCATAAAACCAATTGCTTTTGACGTTCTCATTGCCTTAGTCGTCATGTTTGCTTTTGCCCGCTACTTCCTTGCACTTATTGCTAAATTGACTAGTATAACATAGAAAATGTAAACTTTCGTAGATGAAGTCATGAAAATTAGAAGCTATAGTTGAATGCATCTTACCTGGAAAAGCAGGGGGCTGTAGCAGTTTAATTAGCTGGTCTAACTTTTCATCAAGTTTCTTGATAGCATCGCTAGTTTCAACTCCCTGTCCAATGTACTGGTTGCATACAATTGTTTCACCATTTCTGTTGGTGCGAACTGGAGTCGAGCTGTTTGTAATTTTAGCGCCATTAGCCACGTGCAACATGAGAGCCACAGAGAAAGCAGCACTGGGCCAAAATCGCATTGTGAGAACCAACTTTGTTATGTGCACTAAAACAGTATTCCTTAATGTTGTCTTCAGCAGAATAATACGTGCTGCATAACCTTGTGCGGTTTTATATGAGACGTGTTGGAACTGAGACGGAAATTGCAATGTGCTGTATAAACATGCGGATGTGATAACCGGCTTGTTCATTTGAGACTCATTTGAGCCTGGACGAACTTCAGGGCCTTTATTTTAACGCAAGTCCTTAGGCTGCCGCTTCAGGAGTGATTGGGGAGGGGAGGGGAGGGGGCAGTAAAAAACGCGAAAGGGAAAAGGGAGAGTTACTTTTCTCCGTCCATTCCACCGACCCCTCACTTCCCCTGTACCTGTCAGTCATGAGTCCTATGCATGAGGCCAGAAGTATCCGCACCGTTTGAATTTTTATTACTTTTTTAAACGAATTCAACTGTACTGACTCGCAATTGTATTGTAATTACGGCTGCTGATATCCTAAGTTTTTCCACTTCAGTCAAGAATTAACGTGAGATCAGTTCCTGCTTTCAGACACATCGTGTTTACTTTTTTTTGTAGCCGGAGATTTGTTTGGGTAGTTCGTTTTCATTGTAAAATCATACCTTGAGAACGAGGAGGTTGAGGTCATAAGTTTAGCATGCCAGTCAGTACATGCTATTGGACCCCATCCATAACGAAGTCACCTTCCCGTATTTCTCGAGTACAGAGCTTCTCATTCAGTATTCTTGAAAGAGGAACAGAGGCGATAAACGAATGAGGGACACAAGAACACTAGAGTGGCGTTCTAAAATTTTCTCTTGGAGTTAGATTGCTTTTGTGTTTGAGTACATTTGCGTAGCAGTTTACACTTTTTAACGTGCTTCAACCCTTCCGTATATTAGAGCAAGACAACTTTAATTAATTTGCGAGGTATATATTGAAGGTATATTTTGTGCGGTATATTTCCTCGATATACAAAAGACTCTATCATGCTATGTGATACTGTTTAAGTGTGTCAAGGTTCGTGAATGCTAAGAACGTCTTCTAACTAAATTAAACTTTCCTACATGGTCGTGCAAAGGTAAAAATGCACCTTGCCACGAGAGGATGCAGTGCTCTTCCGTTTTGACTCGATATCATTTATGATTTGAAAAATGGTTAATTAAAACGTATTAGTTTTCCGAGTCGCGCAAAAGAATATTTTCCCGTGAAAGCCATTGTCGATAATTCGAAGTGTTTTTTTTTCTTAACCAAGGTTAAAGTATAGGAAAGAAGAGAAGGAGAAAGTGTTGTCTTTAAACTTGACGTTAATTAGCCCCGATTACAGTAATGCGGTTTTGTTTTGAATTCTTGTACGTTCTGCCCTAATAAGATCGTGTTTTTAAACACGTTTAAATTCGACAATGCTCTGCTAAAACCTCTCTCCAAAGGTGTCAACCTGGAAACTGCGGGTTGCGTCTCACGTCTCTAACAGTCGCAAGTTAGTTTTTAAAGAAATCAGCAGAAATTTGATGACCAGGGCCGTAGCCAGCTTTTCAACTAGGGTTAGGCCTGGCTGACTTTCATTTCCACATAATCAGCTCCTGTCGGTGCATAGTACGTTGAATCCTTCCTTGTTACAGTAGGGCTCTAACGAGGCCCGAGACTGATATTGAGCCCAATTAGTTAAACCCTTTGTTTTAATGTCAGTCGTACTGTTTCTGTTCCCTGGGGTACCACACCAGGGGTGAAGTTGGAGGGGAGGGGAGGGAGGGGCAGTAAAGAACGCGAAAGGGAAAAAGGAGAGTTGCTTTTATCTCTCCAGTTCCCTCTCCCTTTTCCCTTTTTCGCGATGCCCCCTTCTTATCCTAGAGGCCAGAAGTAGTCGGTCATATCAGCACTGTCTAAATTGTTTTTATTTTTGGTTTTCAATGAATCCAACTTCAGTGACTTGCAGTTGTATTGTAATTAAGGATGTTGATATCCACTCATGAGAACAAATTTAAAATCAGTTCATGCCATATTACACCACCTCCATAACCACGTCCTTTTTACTTTTTCTTGTATCCGGAGATTTTTTAGAGTTAGTTTGTTTTTATTGCAAAATTACACCGTGGAAACAAGAAAGTGTAGGACGTAGGTTAACCATGCAAGTCACGAATTATGAAATAAGTTTATGCTGTTAGACACTATACATAAAGAAGTCATCTTCCCGTTTTTATCGTGTAAAAAAATTCTTATTAATTAAAAAAAAATGATTATAAATCAATTTTCACAATGGTCCTCAAGCACGTTTGCTAAGTCTCTTCGTCTTATATTCCTTCTATTTACATCTGCACGAGATAATTTAGACCACAAATATGGACCCTGATATCTCAGATTGAAATCTCGGTATCTTAAAGTCGTTTTCATTACGAAGCTGATAGCTGGTTTCATTTTCTTCAAAAATATTCACTACATAACTAGACAACAGTTTGTGTTTCACTTTATACACCATTATAGCTATATCTTGAGGCCTCTGGTTGTATAGAGTAGTTAGTCCAGCTTTCTTGAGGAGTTCTTCACATGTGGCAGGTTTTCCCCTAAATACAATGCGAAGAGCACGCTCTTGTGAATCCTTTCGAGTTTTCTTCTGTCCGATTTTGCACAGAAGTGCCGTACTGTATGACAGTACGTTAAATTAGGTAAAATTGCATATTTATACAAATGAAGTTTAGTTTCTGTAGAAATCATATCCTCTAAAGGTGACAGGACTCCAATCTTCTTACTTGTGTTTATACAGATCTCTTGTATATGTGACCTAAACTTAACTATCTAAACCAATGATTGTAAAAAACGATAAATTCGTAATACATTTTGGTACAGTGTACTTGCGGTCACATAATAAGCTCATCGAGAAAATTGCTTAGTTTCGGCCACTAAGGAAATGTAGCTCTTTAAGAGAATGGTAGCAGAGCTTATTGGAATTTTAGATTTTCAAGCCTAAAAAGCCATAAGTTGTTATGCTCCTTTTCAGATTTGACTTATGCTCTTCTTATTGTTCCTGCAAGTCTAAGTGAAAGGAAAACGAATTTGCAGCTGTAAAACAATGTACAATTTTTGTTTTGTTTTTTCTTTTCTTGCTTTTTTTTTGTATGAAAAGTATCGTGAAAACCGGTTGGGGTGCCCGTTACCTGTGGTAACAGTCGCTTTAATTAATGTACGAAAAACTCCGTTCCTTGGTGGGTTTCCTGATTCAGTCAGTTTTGACCTGAGACGATACTTGTGTGATGGAAATGATTCAACAAAAGCACATTCATTAAGAAACTGAGTTTCTTGTCTTGTCAATGAAACCTTTTATTTCATCTCAGTCTCACAACTCCCTTATTTAAGATTCTCATTTAAACCGCTTACAATCAGAAATCAACAGTTCCTTAGTTACATTTCAAGGCCGTTTGAGGGTTGTTTCTCGGCATTACAGCTGTTATTGGACCAATATGTATCCCATGGCTTTAATGTGCTGGTCGCCATTATCTCCCCCGGTTATAGCATCATTGCCACACGTGTTAGAGTCATCGTGAGGGCTTCCAGTGCCAAACCCGATCCTGGAGTCACAGCTGTTACATTCATTTTCGTTGTTTCCAAGGATACCAATTCTCGCTTTGCTAGTATTGGTACATATGGCGTTGAATCCCTCTTTGTTACAGTTGGGTTGTAACGAGGCCCGAGACCCAATGAGCTTCTTCCACGTGTTACGGCCCAATGAAGTAGCTCGGTATTTGCCATCTGCGATCATGAAAAACAGGGATCTGGCTTGATGGTTGATGACAACAGAGGTGAACTGGTGACCAACCCTCATTCCAAGACAGATCTTGTTAAACGGTGTGTTCCAATAAGTCGGTAACTTGGTCTCGTGAGTGTCCAACCCAGTCTTCCCTCCTGGAAGGTTGAAGTCGGCTTTGTTGCTCCAGAGATTGGAATTGAAGTGAAAGGTTTTCTGGGTGCATTTCAAAAAGAAAAAAAAAACATTTATATAAATTACTGTCGCTTTGCTATTTTATATGGTACAGTTACATCTTGTTGTTTACTAATTTTGTCCTGGGATATTATTCTCTTAGTACCTTGTCTGGTACTAACAGTGAATTGATACATCATTGAGCTGACACTTTTTAAACCTACACTACTAGATTTTCTTTTTTCTACTTGCGTTAGACTCTTGACTTGTACTGAAAGTTTACCTTCAGTTTATAGTGGCAGTTAAGTGGTAAAAGACCGAGCTACTAGTGAGGATATTTTACTGATAGTACCTTTGAGCCATCGATTTTCATGACCAGCGTCCATCCACCTCCTCCGCATGCATCAAGCATATGCTTGGTCATGTGACAATATACGGGAATCTTCCTGGATCCAACATCAAGCAAATACTCTTTGTTTCCTTTGGACCTAATGAAACATACAACTTCATTAGTTCACCTGTTCCTGGGATATTTCGCTTATATTGGATTAGAGAAGACTGTCTTAGTAAGGGCGCCATAGTAATGGAAAATCTCCGAACAGAAATTATCTGCCTTGTCAAAGAGACATCATATGAGCTGTGAAGAAATCGCAAGATGTGCTCGACTGTAGATAATTTGAGAATTTTGATTAACGTTGTCATTACTGACTTTGGCGATGGACAGTTCTCTTCTTGACAAAAATAAAGAACCAATTCGAAGTTGACAGATAGCAAATTTTTATTGCTGAAAATGTATATGAGTCGTAACAGTTCATCAGTGGGATGCTTTATTTCCACAGTTGGTTTTGGCTCCATTCAATTTTATTCAATTTTCGTTTGCAACCTTGAAGTCTATTTTCTTAAAGACATATACTGTATTTCTAGAATTGATTTATTGTTGTAATAATTTTCACATCATATTTTCGGTTGCATCCGTCTCTTATTTCGTTATCAGATTCTTGGTTTCGAAATTGAGGAACATTCAACTAAAATGGTGCACAGTTTATTTCTCCCTCTTAGCTACGTCACTTTACGGTAATTTTATCCTGCAACTTTAGTTTTTGTTGAAACGATTTTCGTCATCACTTGATATAAACCCTGTGCTGTCGAGTCAACAACAAAACAGATCATTTGTCCTTTGTGGGTCTTAATTCTCTCCGTTTTCTTGAACAAGCAATGGTGCACGTCATCTTATACTCGCGCCTTGGAAACTTTGTTTTGTCTGGTTTGAAGGGGGATGATATTTTCTGGCTTAGCTCTGTGTCCATAGACGGCGGAAAAGTGTTTCGGAAAATGAAGTGTAATAGTGTATCTTAAATCTTCTATACGTACATTTTCATGTCGTAAATCTCCTTGCACGTTGAAGCTGTTGGGAATTAGAGAATGATATAAGACCACGTACAGAAAACAATTTAAAACTGAATCCAAGACGGCTGTTGATTAATTAACACGTGTACATTGTTGTAGGCGACAATGAAAGGACCCTAGCTGAATAATGCCGCGACCACTAAGTTTTATGGTTCAGTTTCCGTACCGTCGGCTTCCTTAAATTGCTTATGCTCTACCACTAATTCAGCCAAATAAATATGTAAGGACAAGAAAAAAAAAACACTAAGGAGTTTTGCAAAATGTCTTTGTCTTATGTCAAGTTGAATTTCCTCGCGTTTCCGTGAGTTTGAGTAAGGTTAGGATTTTTTAAGTTTCATCACATAATAAATAAAAAACTACATTGTGTTAGAACGAATTGTGAAGAAAACATTCTTACCTGGAGTAGGATTTCGTGGAGTAGGATTTCCTGGAGTAGGAGAAGGCTGTAGCAGTTTAATTAGCTGGTCCAGCTTTTTTGAAAGCTTTTCATCAAGTTTTTTGATAGCCTCGCTAGTTTCAGCGCCCTGTCCAACGTACTGATTGCATACAACTGTTTCACCGTTTTTGTCGGCGCGAACTACATGTGTGTTGTTGGTAATGTTGACCTCATTCGTTGCGCATTGCACGAAAATTACAAAAAAAGTTGCAGTAAGCCAAAGTTTCATTGCGATAGCCTGGTAAGTGGGTGCAATGCACTTCATTATTTCTCCAAAACTCCTTTCAACATGAGAATAACTCAAACTGTATGAGGTTGTCTCACTTATTCACCTGAGATTTGGCTTGTGGGGAGACAAGAAAATTTTCCAGTAGGGTTATTAAGTAAATAATTGCCATTGAAAACACTTTAACCGGAGAAAACTAATGAGGTGCTATGTAAAATACTGATAAAATTTTTCTTTAGAAAGAAAAAAGTTATAAAAAAATTAGCAGTAACTCTTATAAATCAAATTGTGATGGCCTCTCATTTGAGCTCCGCTGCTTGAGTTTTGTTGTTTTAATTATTCGCTGAACGCGAATGAGTTAATTGTCGTGAATATTTACAAAGCTTAAAGTATATCTCAAAGTTGTTAAAAAAAAAAAAAAACGTCGACTATAATATATTTTAATTCTAGGAAAAATCGCACGTTGTAACACTGTGCTCTGGTTTGAAGACAATTCTGAAACTATACTAGTTGATCATAGAAATAATTGTTTGAATCTTTTATTTGCAAACGTTGACAAGTTAAACATCAAACAAGAAAAGATGAATACCTTGAGCTTTTTTTGTTCCTGCGGAATTTGAGACCTCGACTCTCCACTTTGAATTCGTAACAAGATCATTATTTACAATCGTCTTCGTTTAGTTATTTTTTTTTTTATCTTCGCAAATGCCTTCATTCTCTTCTTTTAGTACCAACTCCGTTGGAAGAAACTGGTCTTTTTTTTAAATTATTCCCTGCTGGAGTTAAAAGATTCTCGATTCAGACTACCGCATGGCGTGTGTGACTGACAGTTCGTAAACTATATGAGACATAAGCCTGGAAGAACTCAGCCGAAGTAAGATTGCATAATTCTCTCTGACGGAAGAAGATAATGTTTGTTTTTGGTAATGCATCCTACTTTTTCACATCATAAACCTGTTACTATTTTTGGGTTCTGACGGTAAAAAGTTAGAGTCAGGCAAGTTAAAAGATTGAGTATTCATTTATAATGACTAATTTTTTCATCAAACTTTTAATTTATTCTAGTGGGGTCTACGAATAATTACATTTTTATGCAGTCGTGTAAATATTATAATACTGATTGTTTGAGACGATTACACCCTCTCGTGTTGTTTAACTGTTTCATTTCAGGTGTCGAAAATTAATATTTATTCGGGTTATATCTTCTTACTGGAGGTTTAAGTCAAAACAAAAGTCAACTTTCAGCTAAATCCTTTGTTACTTTGCTGTTTTTTAAGTGTGTCTGCTCACATGATATTTAAAAGTAAAGTCATAAAGTGTAATAATTCTAAGCAATAGAGATCGCTAGAAACATAAATAACTATCCACCTTGTCCACATCCAACAACAGCTAGTGGGATGATGATGATGATGATGATACCTTTATTAAAGTGTCAAAACTGTAAAAGCGGTGTATAACCACTAACTGGGGACACTAAAATAAATTTTAAAAAAAAGAAGAAATCAATTAATAAATTAATTAAAATTAAGAAAAACTATGTACAGTATAAGCAAGTAAGAAATTCGAGAGAACTGTATACAATATGTACAAATGTATCCATTATCTTATAAAAAATAAGAAATAACAGATTAAGAAGTGCAAAGAGAGCAGTTAGAGCAGTTATTGTCATCTAATAGCATGCTAAGATCCACTTTTCTGATGTTATACTTGAAGGAGGACAACATGGAAGCTTTTTTCAGGTTACTAGGAACAGAACTCCATACCTTTGGGCCCATATACCTGAGCGAGTACTTTCCAAAGGAGACTGTGTTGAATCTGGGTATAGTGAAGTCATGATTGCGCAGTTTATACTTAATTGCAGGCTGTTCAAAGAGAGCGCTAATGTATGTTGTTAATAAATGTTGTTTTTAACTTTATACATGAGAATAGCTATGTCCTGTAGTCGCCGGTTGTGTAGAGTAGATAGCCCGGCCATAGATAGTAATTGACCATAGGACGAATGTTTATCACAATATATAGCCCTAAGTCCTAAGGGGAAAGGACGCACTGGGGAAAGTTCTCCTCCCCCCTCTCCAACCCTTTCCCTGGCCCTCCCCCCGCTTTGTTCCTTCAGCCTTTTCAAAACCAAACGACAAAGAGAACTTTTAAATGCTTAAGCGATTGGCTTACTGAGTCAGCTAGACTGCGAGCAGTCTCTTATTTTTCTTTGCAAAGTTACTGCACGCGAAACCTAAGGACGCGTAATAATAACGTCGTGGTTTGCAATCGCGCTGAATGAGATAAGAACTAGACGGATTTTAAGAGAAAAGGCTGACTGCAAGCAGTCTATGAGTCTGCTTGCTCCCCCGTGCTCATTCCTTCCTCTTATATCTTATTCACTCTCTTTGGTGTTGGCGTTTATTGGTATGTGCGTGAGTATTTGTTTGTTTTTCCTGCGGGAAGTTGAATAGAGATCCAGTAGCAGTAAAGGGGCGCGTTCCATTCCGGATATTTTGGTTAGAAATCAAATGGAACGGACCATTTCGTTTCGGTCCGACCGCAATATTTGGGACCAGGTTTGAAGGTGGTCCACTTTGCCGGTCCGCTCATTTCGGTCGGTCGGACCGAAATGTCCCTTTCCATTTGACAAAAGTGTTGACCCAGTACCGCTCTTTTGCATCCTGCTTACAAGAACGAGACCTCTTCAGCTTGCTTGTTTTGTTTTCCCAATACAGGTCATGTGTTAATACTCTAGAGAACTGTTTCTTTCAAATCTTGTCTTATTCACGTGCAAATGTAAGTAAAATTTATGAAAAGACAATGGGTTAAGTTCCCCATGAGAATGTACCGTTCCTTTGGGCACGTGGGAGTTTCAATGTTTGTTGAATTGAAAGCGCCCAGGTTGTCACTCAAATTTTCCTTTTAACCATAAAAAAAAAACACTTAACTTTATTTGTCTAGAATTTCAGTCACGGCTATAAATGGGGTCGTTCCCGTTGTCCAATGTATGCTACCTAGTTGCATTCCTACAGAAAAACATATTAATTCTTGCTCTTTCAATGTCATGGACTCACGTTTTTGAAAAGCCTTTGTTTTGCCCGTCCACGCTAAAACGATAGATCTTTGTTTGATTCAAGATCGAAATCAACTACTTAAAACGAAATTATTCAGGAAAACACACTGATTTATCAGCGAAACCGTGTTCATGGCCTTACGCAAAGGTTTTATTTTATTACTGTCTTTCAAAATCCCTTATTCTAGATTCTGCTTTAAAACTATTTGTTAACAGCAATTTACAGTTCCTAAGTTGCCTTAAAGCCCTTTTGAAGACTGTTTCTGCGTATTATGGCCCTTATTGGACTAAAATGTATCCCATCGCTTTGATGTGCTGGTCGCCATTATCTGCGGCTATAGCTTCGTTGCCACACGTGTTGGAGTCATCGTGATACCCTCCAGTGCCAAAACCGATCCTGGAGTCACAGCTGCTACAGTCATTTTCGTTGTTTCCAATGAAACCAATTCTTGCCTTTGAGGCTTTGCTCTCGGTACCAATTGCGTTGAATCCTTCCTTGTTACAGTTGGTCTCTAACGAGGCCCGAGACCCAATGAGCTTCTTCCACGTGTTACGGCCCAATGAAGTAGCTCGGTATTTGCCATCTGCGATCAGTGAATACAAGGATCTGGCTTGATGGATGATGACAACAGACTTGGACTGCTGACCGATCTTCATTCCAAGACAGATCTTGTTAAACGGTGTGTTCCAATAAGTCGGTAACTTGGTCTCGTGGGTATCCAACCCAGTCTTCCCTCCTGGAAGGTTGAAGTCCACTTTGTTGCTCCAGAGATTGGAATTGTAGTGAAAGGTTTTCTGGGTAAATTTGAAAAAGAGAAACGTCATTTATATAACTTACTATCGCTTTGATGTTTTATCTATTCGACACATATGGTACAGTTACATTTTGTTGTTTACTAATCTTGTCCTCAGATATTATTCTCTTTGTACCTTGTCTGGTACTCATGACTTACAGTGAATTGATGCATCATTGCGCTAACTCTTTTTTAACCTACACGTACTAGAATTCCTTTTTCCTTTGCTTAGACTCTTGAATTGCATTGTAAGTTATCGTTTATAATAGGAATTAGAAGGTGCCAGTTCAAACTAATTGTGAGAACATTTAACGTTTGATACCTTTGAGCCATCGATCTTCATGACCAGCGTCCATCCACCTCCTCCGCATGCATCAAGCATATGCTTGGTCATGTGACAATATACGGCAATCTTTCTGGATCCAACATCAAGCAAATACGCTTTGTTTCCTTTGGACCTGATAAAACACACAACTTCATTGGTTCACCTCATCCTGGGATATTTCGCTTATTTGGGATTAGAGAAGGCTGTCTTTATAAGGGCGCCATGGTAATTGAGAATTTCCGAAAAGAAATTATCTGCCTTGTCAAAAACATCATATGAGCTGTGAAGGAATCGCAAGGTTTGATTTGACAATTTTGACTAACGTTGTCATTATTGACTTTTTCGATTGGCAGAACTGTTTTTTACCGTCAGTTTTGCTTTCTCGTCTTATTACTTTTTCGCCAACTTCTGGTGTCGCGCCTAACTTAACTATCCTTCCAGTTTGAGCGTAAATTCACTGAGTTCTCATATTTCGCGGCTTTTTTCTCCCAAGGAACACTAGTGATCGGTGTTTTAGTTTATTTTTACACATAATACTGGATCGATTCCCGCCCTTTGTCATCTTAATCTTAAAATGTTCGACAAAAATTAAGAACCAATTCAAGGGGGACAGATAGCAAATTTTTGTTGCTGAAAATGTATAATGGGTCGTGACTGTTCATCAGTGGGATGCCTGAAATGTTTCCATTTCCACAATTTTATTCTGTTTTGTTTTTGCTATCTTGAAGTCTAGACTCTTATAGCCTGCGAACAGCAGACGTATTTCCGGTCGTCGGCGCTTCTTTCCCTCCGAAAAATAGCGTCTGCGAACCCGAGCAACAAAACGATTTTCCGTGACGTAAAACCTTTTTAGCCAATCACGGTTTAGCTTTTAAAATCAAGGAACTAACTCGCGAGACTTCTCGCAAGATCGTGCGCGGTAGATTTGTTTACAAGTCGAAATTGAAAGGACGACGTGGCTTGTGTATAGCTGTCGTTTTTTCTCAGAACGACGCGTTTACGAAAGTTAATTTGCCAGGATTGTGGGACTGATTGACGAAATAAGTATCAAGAGGATTCATATCGAAGAAAAGATTAGAGGACATTTTTCAGCTATTTGCCTACGGAGTCAATGATTTATCACACCTAGTTGTTGTGATCATATTCGAAACAATAAATGTCCTAATGACAGTAGACGCATCATGCCGTTTGTAATATTTTTTAGTAGACATCCTCTATCTTTGAAAGCTACGACGTGTGGTAATTGATTTCCCATGCGTGGTTGCTTCTTGGTTCAGACGGAACTTTGATCAGATCGAAAGCATTTTATATTTGTTCCGGTATATTTCTTTCAATACGTGGTCTTTTCAAGGGTCTAATTTCCATAGTTTTTTGTGAGGTGAGTAGAAGCGTCGTCTGAGCTGAAATGTCATCTTGACTATGATCAATTTACTGCTGTAACTATTGATTTCACGCTGGGTCTGGCCCAGGTTTTGTAATATTTCAGATCATTGTGTTGTGGCGATACTAGAATTATTAACGAGCGATTGTCAGAGATTTCTGAATCAGTCAAGGATGTGTCTGTATATCTAATGTTCTAATGTTTACCCAGTAACTTCAGTTTTTGGTAAAAAGATTTTCGTGATTATTTGATATAATCCTTGTGCTGTTGAGCCAAAAAAAAGTGTAGATCATTTGTCTCTTGTGAATCTTAATTCTCTCCGTTTTTTTTTCAACACACAATAGTACACGTCGTTTCCAGTATACTCGCGCCTTGGAAGTTTCGATTGATGAAGCAAAGCAGATTTTGGCGATAATATTTTATGGCTTAGCTTCGTGTCTACAAAGGAGAAAAGTGTTTCGGAAAATGAAGTGGAATAGTGTATCGTAAATCTTCTATATACGTACAATTTCTTGTCGTAAATCTCCTTGCACGTTGTAGCTTTTGAGAGTTAGAAAAGTATATTAGCCATATCAAGACCACGTACAAGGAACAATTTAAAACTGAATCCAAGACGGCCGTTGATTAAAATACGTTTACATTATTGTAGGCGACACTGAAAGGACCCTATCTCAATGATACCGTGAGCATTAAGTTTTATGTTTTAGTTTACCGCATCGTCGGCTTTCTTAAATTGCGTATGCACTACTAATTCAGCCAAAAATATATAAAGGCAAGAACCAAAAACTTTCTAAGGCGTATTGCAAAATGTCTTTGTCTCTGGTCAAATTGAATTTCCTCACATTTCAGTGAGTATGAGTAAGGTTAGAATCTTTTTAGTTTCATGACAAAATAAATAAGAAACTGCATTATGAGTCAGAACGAACTGTGGAAAAAACGTTCTTACCGGGAGTAGGAGAAGGCTGCAGCAGTTTAATTAGCTGGTCTAATTTTTTGGATAGTTTTTCATCAAGGTTCTTGATAGCCTCGCGAGTTTCAGCGCCCTGTCCAATATACTGATTGCATACAACGGTCACACCATTTTTGTCGGCGCGAACTGCGTGTGTGTTGTTGGTAATGTTGGCCCCATTCGCTGCGCATTGCGCGAAAATTACAAAGAAGAATGCAGTAAGCCAAAGTTTCATTGCGGTAACTTGGTAAGTGGGTGAACTGCACTGCAATACTCCAAAAAATTTCCTTTAACAGATTAACTCGTGCTATATGAGGTTGTCTCATTTATTGACCCTGGTTTGTAGATAGACAAGAAAATTTTCCGGTAGGGTTATTAAGTAAATAATTTCCATTCAAAACACATTAACTGGAGAAAACTAATGAGGTGCTATGTAAAAATTAATACTGATAATTAAAATTTTTTAGAAAGAAAGAAGTAAAAAGATTAGTATTTCCTTGCAGTAACTCTTAGAAATCAAAGTGCGACGGCCAACAGAATGCCTTTTATTTTACTGCCCCGCTGCTTAAGTTTGTTTTTCTTTAATAATGCGCTGAAGGCGAGTAAGTTAACTGTCGTGAATATTTACAGAGCTTGAAGTATATTTCAAAATTGTTCAAAAAAAAACGTCTACGTTATTATGATATGTTAACCCCAGGAAATAATGCACATTGTAACAGCTGAAATTGTGTCCACTGCGCTCTGTTTTGAAGACAATTTTGAAATTTTACTAATTGGTTTTACATATAATTGTTTGAATCTTTTATTTGCAAACGTTGACAAGTTAAACATCAAACAAGAAAAGATGAATACCTTGAGGTGGTTCTTTTTCCTGCGGAATTTGAGACCTCGACTCTTCCCTTTGATTTCGCAACAAGGTTATTCTTCATTTAGTTATTTTTTTTACTTTCGCAAATGCCTTAATTCTCTTCTTTTAGTAGCAACTGTGTTGGAGGCAACTGGTCTTTTTTTTAACTTATTCCATCCTGGAGTTAAATAATTCTCGATTCAGACTACCGCATGTCATGCGTGACTGACAGTTTGTAAACTATATAAAAGACATAAGCCTGGAGGAACTCAACCGAAGTAAGATTGCATAATTCTCTCAGACGGAAGAAGATAATGTTTGTTTTTGATAATTTATCCTACATTCTGACTACACTATCACGAAACATTCAATGTGAAATAGTTTATTGAGGAATGGTCAGTCAGTCATCCGACACTGACAACAATGTGTCGTAACATATACTTATTACAACATAGAATATGCTAGCAAGTCTAACTTGAAAAGCTTGAAAAATTAAGTTTACCACGCCAGATACGAAAAACCACTAAAAAACCACTCTTTAGATGTGGCCAAAAAATATGTGGAAACGTATTCCCCATCTAATGCAATGGCACGGAACCTCGGGGAAGAGGTACAAACAAACGCATAACTCCATAGAAAAAATTCAACTAAATTGACAACAGCAAACAGAAAGACTGACTGAGCTAGAATGATTAATATTCCCCGCTAAGACATTAAATACTCAAAACTCTCCCCTGAGAATACT